CAAATAATATATCAACTTCAGCCCCAAATCTCAAATTAATTGAAAAGGAGGCGCTGTGGATGCATTCCCGTCTCCCTGCTGGTTGTGCTCGAATGCCTGACCACCAAGATACTGGAACTGGCAGGGAACACGGCTCGTGACAGCAGAAAGACTGGGATCGTCCCCCGACACCTGCAGTTGGCTGTCCGCAGCGACGAGGAGCTCGGCAGGCTGCTGGGAGGAGTGGCCATCGCTCTGGGAGGAGTTGTGCCCGGCATTCGGGCGGTCCTGCAGCACGGAGGAACCGAGAGGCCAGTCGAGTCTGGGTGGACGGATCGGACGGCATCTGTGGCCAGTTTCTTCAGATCCACAGTGGGACGGACCTTTACAAGAGATCCTTCCTGCCTACCGCCGTCAGCTCTCTAACATCTCTTAATGAAATGAGGATAACGAGTTACAACAACATTTAATTTCCCTCTGGGATTAATAAAGTGTTTTTGAATTTAGTTGAAGATGCCGGCACTGTAGCTCTCCTCTGACAGAGGACACCCAAGACAAAGGTTCAAACAATGAGTCCACATCCAGGCCATCTTCATTTCAAATGTGTATACCAGTAGGTTCGATCATATGTGTGGGGGCAGCTGCCTTGATGTGAGGTGGGCAACACAAAATGCAGTTCTGCGAGCCGTATATGCAAAAATAGGCTGTGATTTACCTAAACTTTCCACTGAAAATGCAACCACGCGACTCGCTGGTCCCTTGGTCGCGCTCGGAAGAGAGGCTGCAACTGAAAATTAACCCATTTTTTGTAATTGTGAGTCTCCAGCAGTCACAGTCCAGTGAAATATTACATTAGGATGTTGATGTAACAGTCAGAGAAAGATATACACACAAGCACAGGCCTGGCCAGATGTCTCCCCTGGTAATGTGGGATAAATATGACTGATTTTTATTTAAAAAAAAACTTTGGTGTCATAACCAAAAGTAGAAAGTCCCGTCATGTCTGAAGACAGTGCTGCACCTTTCAGGGAGATCCTCTGTCTCTCTGCTCTCCTCCACAGGCACAGGTCTCCTTTGTGAATAAAACAGGCTGTTCTAAATAATTCATCTTTTCCTCTGGAACAGGGAAAGTGTTGCCCTGAAAGGACCCCTCCTCTTCCAGCTCCTCTCCCTCTCTCTGGTTTCTCAGTTTGAGGAGCTTTTAGACAAGGTCACCTATAAATAAGGCATGCTGATTCTGTTCACGTCGTTATTGCTGCCTTCTTATGTCTTTGCAAAGTTATCCCCCGTGGCTGCAGCTGCTTTCACCCTCCTTTATGAAGAAGAGCAGAAGAGAGGAAGATTAAGAAGCCGAGATCTTACAGAACCTCATGATCCTGCTCACTTGTGATGCTTTTAGTGCTGAGCAAGGATTGGCAGGGTAGTTGATGGTTACCATCTGTCTCCATCTAGTGTTTGTGGTCAGAATTGACAAGTTGTGTCAGCTGAAATACAGAGAAAACTTGATTTGCTGTTCCTAAGTTCTGCTTGTTCTTGTCCCCGTAGGTTGTGCAGGATGTGGCCGAGACATTAAGAACGGTCAGGCTCTTCTCGCGCTCGACAGGCAGTGGCACCTGGGCTGCTTCAAGTGTAAAGCTTGCAGCAAAGTGCTGACCGGGGAGTACATCAGCAAGTAAGCAGCTGCTCTCACACGCCCTTTGGCCACTTTCAGACTTCCTCAAGGTTTGCACCATCTCAGCTTTAACACCTTCTCCAAAATATCTGGTTTCTGGGGAGCTGCCTTATTGGAGTTTTGGAGCGAGAAGGACACGGGGCTGTATCCTCGACGTTTAAGTCCCGCCTTCCCACCTCTCTAACGTTTTGTCTCGCCTTGTCGTCACTCGGTGTAACGCAACGTCTTTCCGTTAGCCTCAAAACGCTAATTAAAACGCAAAGTGTTGAACATAAAGCAGAAAGGTAAGAACTGCGAGAAGCAACAAAAATCAACTTCTGAAAGAGGAAAAAAAACATAATCCTAAGTGCGTTTTAATATTTTAGTAGGGAAAGTGTTGCATCCGTTTACATGGACGGGGATGGAGCTTAAATATGATTCTGCAGCAAACCACTAGAGGGCGCTCATCCTAATAAGTCCAAATACATAGTCCCTCATTTATCGCAGGGGATCCGTACCCTGAAGCAAGTATTATATAATATATTATATATATGTATATATATATTTATAAAGGCATTTTAAACCCTTCCCACGCTCTTGCAATATTCTAAACAATGTTTCTAAACGCGCTAAAAGAGACAGAATGTCATGATTTCAGCTCCCTGCCTCCTCGGCTCTTGGCCACGCCCACTTCTCCACTCTGCACGCTGATCAGCTGCAGCAGGAAGTTTATCCTGCAGTGAGGGCTGCACAAAGGTGCAGGAGATGCTAAATAATTTATTTTTAAATAAAAATTCCGTGCCGATCGTGCGGCTCGTCCATCAGTCAGTCAGTTGTGTGTCATGTCCAATCTTATTCTGAAAAACCGTGATAGAGGGTTAGATCATTTTAAAGTGGCTGTGTGATATTTAGTAATTTCCTATCTGGCAACCGTCATCCTATTTGTTGTGGATTAAACGCTGAGTCAGCATTCATTCACACATTTCCCGTTTTATAGTTTAGTCTGTTTTTTTTTTTGTTTTTTACAAACTTCTTTTATTTTAATCTTGGCGCTTCAAAGCGTTTGTCTCAATGGGGAATAAAACGATGTGACTTTTTAACTTTTATACCTTTGAACTAATCTTTATTTACCTCACAATTCTCATAATAAAGTGACTTTTCTTCATTATTCTCTGGAATCTGCTTCAATATACTTTGTGTTTTGTCTCCTGCTCACTTTAGCTTTTAGCTGCTTTCATGCTAATCAGGCTTTTAGCTACAGTTTTAGCTTTTATCTACCACCTTGCTACATTTAGCATTTGTTTTAGCTTCAACAAGTTACAGTTAATTCAGCTCCGAAGGAAAAGCATTTTAGCACCCGGTGGAAGGTTTTAGGTCCTGGTTGGATTTGTCTCTGGTCTCTGTGCAGGGACGGTGCCCCCTATTGTGAAAAGGACTACCAGATCCATTTTGGCGTTCAGTGTGAGGCGTGTCATCAGTTCATCACAGGGAAGGTGTTGGAGGTAAGAACCAGACCCACAGCTGCGATTTTGCTCGTCCTCAGCTGTAACGTCCTGTGCTGGCAGAGACCGCTGCATGGGGGAGAAATAAAAACTGTGAGCCGTCGTTTCGTAATCTCCGGCGTAATCTCTCCACCGCCGAGCCAAGGAGACTCTCGACATGACTGTAATCATCTAAAATATTAATTCTTTGCAGATGTTTTTGGTCATTTTCAAATGACATCCTGCCTGCGGAAAAGCTGGCGTCGCCACAAATTACATAATTATTACATAAAACCTCTTTCACGTCATCTGACCCCGAGGTTCATTATTTATTTGTAGACTCTAAATCTGGGTTTAGATCAGGACCCAGGTAGTTCGTGCAACGCGTTTTGTTAAAAACAACTCCTTCAGGGACTGTGAGCGTGCAGTCGCTCACTGTTTTAGCCTCAAATTAAAGATTTCATTTGGTTAAACTTAAACGTCTTTGCAGGAACTTTGACGGGTTGAACACACAGATGTGAGTACCCTGAACTTAGCTCTCCGTTCTTCTGTTTCTTCTGGACGTCTTGCAGAACGAGAGAAGAGATGGTGCGAACGATGAGTCAGCACTGTTGCTGTTCAGTCTGTTCTGTCCGTATATTTTATTTACAATCTAAATACGCCGCCATGCTTTGTGCTGTTTCAGCCATTCATGTATCAAAACAGTCTGCTCGTTCAGGAGATGGTGCTGTGACTTTTGTAACTTTTATACTTTCAGAGTTTTGTATTTACAAACTTTTTCCTTTAGAATTGCATCAAAATCTATTCAGGTCCTTTAAAAACATTGATCTCAGAAATCTGCTTCGGCAAACTGGCTCTTTGTTTCTGTTCTGCTACTTTTAGCTTTTAGCTCGATTTTTGCTACACTTGGTGTCTTAAGCTACTGTTCTGCTACATTTGGCTTCATCCATCCTTTTGCTAGGTTTAGCTTTTACCTGTCATTCTGCAACTTGTGGCTTTTCGTTAATATTTTGCTACTATTAGCTTATAGTTAGTGTTCTGCTACTTTTAACTCGTATCTAGTGTTTGGCTACTTTAGTTCTTTACATTTGCTACTTTCAGCTTCTATTTAGCCTCTTTTGGCCTTCTACTGTTAGTTTTGCTGTTTAGTTTCTAGTGTCTTATTTTATACTTTTTGCTTTTAGCTAGCATTTTACTACTTTAATTATCTTTTTGTTACTTTTAGCTTTAAGTTTTTTGTTACTTTTAGCTTTAAGTTTTTTGTTACTTTTAGCTTTAAGTTTTTGTTACTTTTAGCTAGCAATTTACTTCTTTAAACTTTTAGCTTTTTGTTACTTTTACCTTTTAGCTATTATTTTACAACTTGAAACTTTTAACTTAGTTAGCATTTTATTACTTTAAACTTAACTTTTTGTTACTTTTAGCTTTTAGCTAGCATTTTACTACTTGAAACTTTGAGCTTTTTGTTACATTTAGCTTGTTACCTTTTAGTTTAGCTGAGTTTTTTACATTTTTAGC